ATTTAATTTTATTTGTGAACATACTGTACAGAGGGGTTACAATTACATGGGCAGGATAATGCGTACATTTCTTACCAAGCATTGCAGCCTCCTCCTTTGGTCAATAAGCATTTTTGCATTGTGATTTTTGACTCCTGAGTTCCAGCCAAGCACATATGTGTATATAACATAGCAAACTGGTTCTACAAACCAGCAATATTACCTTCGTTCCATATGGAAGCACCACCTGAACTAAATGCCTCTGATAAGCCTAAAGAAGCACAATTTCTAAAACAGACACACGTTAGAACATTTTTCTAAGTAATAGAAAAAAGGGTTATTTATTAGGGCTTTAAAAAAAAAAGTGATGCATTAGTTGTTGCTAAAAGAACTAATTTCACTCAGTGCTAATTACAAGACCATTTAGAAAATGACAATGCAGAAACAGAGTTCATAAATTAGTATATAAAGAGGACTTCCAGTCAGTAGCATTATCCACAATAAAAAAAAAACAACCTTACTTTTATTGTATCAAACAGAAAGTACTTCCATGACTAACACACATGTGGCTATCTCCATAACTCAGCATTCACCTACAAAGCTTCCCATGTGGAAATGTGTAGAGAGAGGACTTCGCATGCAGATAATATTATCAAATATGTTGTTAGCATAGGAATCACAAAATAAGGTTGTCAGAACAACTGTTTCATCTGAATGAGGAGCCAAACAGGCTAATGACTTAGTTCCTTTCTGGCCTGTCTGTGGTACTTTGTCTTTGAAATGTGTCCTAAGGTGTTCCTAGCTGTCTTAGGATCTGTTCCACCTAAACTTTCCAGACGATGCAAATCACTAGATACTTAAGTTTTTCCTAAGGCCATAATTCCCTAATAACCACCTGGGGAGCTTATTTTGTAGTACTAAGGTTTTAACTTTGCCTAACCGCTGTGAGGCAGGCCCTCTACCACTGCCAGGGGACCTTTTTAAAAAACCGCAGACCCCCTCTGATTGTGATGAGACAAGTCTGTGTGACGCATAAAGATGGCCTTTGCCCAATCACATCAGCAGACTCTGCTGTCCTGACGCAGAGCACGTGTGGCGCCACCCAGCCGTCCTCAGAAGACATTCGGCCTCGTATGGTTTCAAAACCAAAAAACTTTATTAAAGCAAAGAAACAAGTAGACTTTTAGAAGACTCAGCCTCCAGCATCTCTGCTAATTTCCATCTTCATGGAGGAACTGTTCAAGGTTAAGTTTACTTTTTTCCAGGGCTGCGGTTTTGGCCCGTCGGGGTAACCTCACCTTCACTTCTGGCTTTGGCGCTGGCTCTGGAATGTCCTGATCACTAAAGAGAGGTTGAAAATATACTTTAGACACAAGCTTTAAAACAAGTTCATTTATAAATAAAACTTTCCATTTCTGAAATTCTATCATTGGGTAATCCATAGCCTAATTCCACTAACTAAACTTAAAACTAAAATCTCAAGCAATAACCGGAATAGACTGACCTAGACCAGTGAATTAGGGGACACCTAGCTGACTTTCTATAAACTGTATGAAATGAACACCAAATTTCTATAAGAAAGCTGATAATTGCACAGGCCGTGATAGTTCTGAAATGGATTTTTGAAACAACACTGAAAAAATTATCTTCATTTACTTAATTCCTGAAACTGTAAATAAGATTTTTTCTGGGAAAAAGGTACTTTAAACAGGACAAAAATCTAAAAATAGTAGTAGAAATGCAAGGTAGCCACAAAATGTCAGCTTGAACAACAGCTTGACATTAGCTTTTGATAGGTGCTCTATCACACAACCACGAACGCTATAGGCACAGTGTTCTACCATCGTGAAGGAAAAGAATCCAAATCAGGACTTTGCTAATTCAAGGTCAAAGGATAATACAGGGTCATGTAATTAGGACAATATGCACAAAGGGAGAACATGTTCAAGATGACTACCTAATACTAACGGCTATGCTGAATTTTAGACACAACTGTGCAAGCCCTAAGAAAGCAAAGGCTCTTCATAGAGGAATGTTAGATTATTTTCCGAAGTCCTGGCTACTTACAATTTTTGCTATCTTCTTTACTGAGTTTTCTCACCAGGAGGAAAATTACATTTTTTTCTACTTTACACCAAAAAAAAACAAACAACAAAGAAGAGGAGCGTCTCTTGTTTATGAATTGTGCCACACACCTTTCAGAGCTGGCCTCAGCAGTCTGGCGTCTTCTGTTTGTCCTGGCTGACGCTGTCACTTTTCTCCGACCTTAAAGACAGTAGAACTTATGGTCAAAATTAACTGTTTAACGTTCCTAAACCTTGTGTCTAGGCTATCTTATTGCTTTATTTTCAAAACTCTTCTTAAACACATACCAAAATGCCAGAGAAAAAGAACTCAAGCAAGATCAAAATTGACATTAATTTCATTTCTTTGTTGAGCTGCTTAGGGGCAAGGGAAAATCCTACATGTACATTATAAAGAGGCAAATTTTAGCTCAATGTGGAACAGAAAAAGCATATTACAAATTTCTCAGGCATGGTAGTACACAACTGTATACCCAGCATTTGGGAGGCTGAAGCTGATCTATTTAGGGAGACGCTGTTTGAAAAAAGCCAATAATGAAAACCAACATAAACACAGCATAGGAAAGACTCATGGAAAGATTTGGTCTCTGAACAGATCTAAAAGTACTAAGTAGAACTTCATTTTTGTTTTACTTAGTTTTCTCCAAAGTCTCACAAAACTGTTTGAAAATTCTTATTTTTCTGGAGCAGTAAGCAAGGAATACAGTCATGTGTCACCACATCCACTTGGAAATTAAATGTAATCAAAAGAATGGCCTCTCACAAAATACTTAAATGTATGTATGTCCAATTCATATACATATTCTAAAATATATTTCAATGTAAAAATTAGAACCTTTATATACTGAGTGAGGGTGACAAAAACTGTACATGCTGGGAAGTGGGGAAAATCTGGTCCGTGATGTTCAATTGTTAGAAATAAAATACAATACACATACATGAAGTTTAGATTGCTGGTTTGTTTTTTGTTTTTTTAAAGCATGGAGTTCTTATAGGATATTATGTGACTAAAACAGTCTGATCCAAACCAATTTTCATTTGAAAATTGTTTGGAAAACTATATACCCTACTCATTTTTACCCCTCAGACCTCATTTATTGTTCTCACTAATGTATTTATCCTCAAGGTGTCCAAGAATATGGGACTAATTTGGAACAATATCCAATAATTGGTGCTTGAATAAGTGGTTTGTTATGAAACATTATGGTCAGATTCTATTTTAGAAAGTAAATTAAATCTGCTTAGAAAAGAACCTAAAAACATGTTTGGAAGATTAAAATCTTGGTTGGCTCATGGACAGGATTATTAGCATTCTTTATGGTAGTTTGCTTGGATGTACTTTCTGACTCTTCTGTAATAAGCATGCATTATGTTTTTGTAATTCAGAAAAATAAAATAATAAAAAGATTGTGGATTTCAGATCTTTTTCCAAGTGGTCCCCTAAGTAGTAAACATTTATTTATTCCTACAAATCTTCCATTAATGGTTATCCCTTGGGAAGTAAGTTCCATTGGTAAAGTATGAAATTAGATGAGAAATGGAAAAAAAACAGAGAAAGGATCGTTTAACCTGTTCTTTTTCTTTTCTTTTTTCAGTATCAGGATTTGAACTTAGAGCCTTATACTTGCTGGACTTGTATTCTACCTCTTAAACCACATCTGCCAACATGGCTAGTTTGGAGATGGAGTCTCCAAACCTTTTCTGTCTGGGCTGGCTTTGAATCTGGATCTTCCAGATCTTGGCCTTCTAAGTAGCTAGGGTTACAAATGTGAGCTGCCAGTGGTTGGCTTTTACCTTTTCTTAATTTAACCCAAATGGTCCTTTTACTATTTACACTATTTACAAGTGATCTTTTATATAATATTTCCATGAATCGGAAGTACCTGCATTAATGTCAATTTTATAATCTCTAGAATATGCAAAAAAATTATGTATAGCCTAACAAGCAAAGATTAAAAGAAAGCTAAGAAGACCTAAAACATTTAAATCTTTACTCTTAAGACACTTAAAAATCTCTGTCTTAAGGAGGGAACTTCAAAAGCATTTTCACTGGAAGACAAATAATGTTTCATTACAAGCTCTAGACACATACACTACCTCGGTTAGTCCTTTGCTGTGTGGATTTTGATGCTTTTGTATCCCTCAAAGGAGTCATATATGCTTCTTTATTGTCTTCTGTTAGTGAAAATCATACAATGTAAATTTTTAAAAGGCCAACTTCATGAAATACTTTTCATTTTTCATCAAAGACTGGCAAAATATTATCAGCTACTGGTAATAGATGAATAAATCTATTAGATAAATAAACTAAAGAAATATTGGTTATCAAAAAAAAGAGCTCCAAAAACTGTGAATACTTAGGAATGGAAACTGCCAGTTCTAGTGACATGTACAAATACAAAGCACAGTAATACTCCTTCCAAGGTGGATTCAATAGAAAAAAGATGCTCTGAGATCTAGCCACAGATGTTTAAAAAAAAAAATCTCAACAAGTTTAAAAACAGCATCACACAAACATTCATGCTGCCATGCTATTACCGTCTTCATCTTCCTTCGGAGGAACAGGTGCAGTGGCGCTGGCATCCTGTACTTCTATGGGTTGGTCACCAATTTCTTTGTTTCCTTTCTCTAACTGAATCTTGATCTTTTCCAAAGCTCTCAGGCATGTTCTATCTTTAACTTGCTATTAAAGACAAAACATTTAAACACAAACATTTTCTAATCTTTTCTAAGTTACATGCCAATATGAAGAAGTTTCAAAATATTCTAAAAGTATAGGAAACTTATGAAAGACATTTTAAATGTCTTTTAAATGTCAGGGTGAGGGACAGATGGGAAATGATAGTAACAAGAGTACCATGGCTCAAGATGCATTGTACCCATAAACTGACATGTTATATAGTAACCCCTTAGTTCAGCCACTTAAAGACAATAAAGCATCATTACAAGATAAAATAAGCAAAGTCACGATCAAGTAAATTCTACTTGTATATATTTGAAGACAGGTTAGACAGTATTAGGAACTATTTTACCTCCAAAATCTCATTCAAGAGAACCAGAAGATCTTTGGAAATACTGCTACTTAATTCTAAAGAATTCAAAGCTTTCGTATAGATCCGAATTTCTGGTGAGCATGGACTTGTTAAGATCTCATTACAGATTTTCACAGCCAAATTGTCATGTACTGTTAAAGCCTAGAAAATTAAAAGAGAATATGTAAAATGAAAATTATATGGATATAGTTCTACCCATCTGAAGAAACATCCCCAACTCCAAGTCATAATCTAAAATGCAAGTACTTAGAACAAAACTTAACATTAACTGTCCCTTCTCCCCAATAAAACTCCTTTCTAGATGGACTGATTGACTGACGGATGGATGGATGGTACTAGAAAATGAATGCAGGGCTCCCACTTGAGCTAGGCTCCAGCCCTTTTGGTTTTGTTTTTAAAAGAGGGATTCACCAACTTTGCCCAGACTGGCCTTGCTCCAGCAATCCTCCTGCTTGGTGGCATGTACCACCACGCCTGTCTGCTACTTCATTTCCAGAAGCTAATATAAGGCTAATCTACTGAAGGGACTGAAGGGTCTCCCAATTGCTATGAGTCTTGGAGCTGAGTTCCAGCTTCAGAACCAATCCAGGCTGATGATAGTGAACTTTGCCCAAACCTAAGCTTTTTCCACGCGGGATCAGTGAACATGCAATAGCTTAGCAACCCGTGCAGATGCCGTGGTGTAGCGTGTCCCAGTCCTGCACAACTGAGAGGAATATGCCAGTTCTGGAACTGTGAATCACCAGTGGCCTCAGCTCACATGGAGACTGAGAGTGGCCTTAGTTTCAGTTTTTTCCTTCACTGCTTCAAGACGTTGATCGTAACAGTAAAGATCAACAACTCGTTCCTAGGAAGGCTTCTGTTGTCATTCTTACATTTGTGGAGAATTTCCATAGATTTCTCCAGCCTTCTCCTTTATTTCCTCTGACTGTTCCTTCCCTTCATGGGACTATCCGTGACCACAGCTGAATCTTTCTGATCAGCAGCTTTAATCCTAATAACCCTTTAATCTTAAGCCTGTATGGTTACTCATTAGAAATAAAGTCCACTTTACTGTCCCCTGACTTGGTCTTTAAAACATGCTTTGCATAGCTATCCACGGATACTATCTTTTCATTCTCAGCAATCATTTCTCATTGCAAACAAGACCAAAGTATAAAACTACCAACGTTATATACTTTATTCTTATCATTAATTCTTGCCCTTCCCTAAAATCTAAAAGTTGTATTGTGCCTGTGTCCCTTGCCACATTTTGCACAGTATCTTTTATCATCCTTCAGTAGCACACGAGGTGGGAGGGAAGGGAAGGTGTGACAATGCTTGATAGGAAATGTACTCATTACCTTGGTCATGTAACTGTAACCCCTCTGTACAGTATTTTTACAATAAAAAACGTATTTTTAAAAAAGTAGAATATATAGTCACTAAATACCAACTAAATATAAAAACCCAACAGCAATACTTTTAAGTTGGCATCTGAAATCATTAACACATTATAGTTCAAATGTGTCTGGTGTCAAATCATGACCAAATTTCATTAAAGAACTGGTTTCAATAGGATGTAGGATTTAGAAACCCAACTGAAGATAAATTCGTAGGTCAAGCTGTAGTTGACTTATCTTTTTCAAGTTAAAAACCAAAATAAGCTCTGTTCTTTGACCTGTCCTTCCCCATGTTGACAATAGGAAGTAAGCCAATATTTCAAGACTCAATGGGCCCTACAGTTTTATCTTTACCACCCACAGGCTCACAGACTCACTTACTTGGTAATCTTGAGAATTCTTGGCTTGAGGATTCAGTCCACTAGGTCTTGTCAGATCTACGAGCAACTCGGCAACATTCATGATATCTATTTCAGCTAAGGGAGATGATGCAGGCGCATTAGCCAGTGTTTGCAGAGTTGGAAGAAAGGCTTCTTCAAAGCACTCCTGGTTAATCCTATTGAAATCAAGTTGAAAGAATGTTGGCAGAATATTATTTTAAGAGGAGAAAAAGCACAATTCTAGAATATCTTTGATGCAAAACTCATGTGACAAAGTATATTTTCACCCACAAAAAAAGCCAAATAATTCAGGGAGATAAAAATCTAAGTTCTCATTGCTTCATTCACTACTGAAATAGGAGAAGAGTATCAACAACAAGATGACACAGAGGTAAGATTTGGATTTGTCGGTAGGACTCAGTACCTGCTAGCATAAGCAAACATGGGGAAAAACACCCCCAGACAATGTCGGAGTCGGATGTCCTCTTCTGTCACTGGATTGTACCACAACAAGATGAGACGAGAAAGAATCCTGCTGCTGACCAAAAGCCCAGAAAACATCAGCTTGGCTAGGCCTTCCACTGCTCCTGTCCTGAGTTCAGAAACCTAACAGCAATGACAGTCATCAGAAGGAGTTTTGTAAAGTCTCAAGAGTCTTATTATCTGGACAGATTAAGTGCAGAGACACACATGCCACATGCTTGCCACACACACAGGCATTCAAGGCACACAACAGCCTTGAGGTCAGAGACTTTCATTCACTCAGCACTCTACTCTCAGAATATGTAGGGAATGGCACCAAGTTGGCTCTTTCACACATTCTTGATAGAATTAAAGAATCATCCCAACAAATTGGCAGCACTGACCCCATTTGAGGTGAGAAACAGACGAGGGACAGTAATGACCTCTTTGAAGACTTACTCTGATCAATCAGAACCAACTTTGCAAACCTTCCTGGCAGCAATAGCAATCCATTCAAAGCGAAGTGGTAAGAGGCTGAAGCTAGACAGAACTATAGGGCCTGAGAGCTAATAAGGCTTGTTACTTATGGCCAAGAGGACAGTTAAAAAAATCTAGGCTTTTAAAGTGAGATTAAAAAAATAAAAATGAAGAAATCACTCCTCACCTCACTGTCTAAGAAATCCGAAAGAAGCTTTAGAACATTCTTGGCAGCGGTGGCCTCCTCAGCTTCTTTGACATCCAGCTCATCATTACTGCTGACTTCTGCACCTTCACCTTGAGGAGCTTTGATGGTTTTAGTTTTAAATGGTTCAATTCCAAATGTCATCAGTTGGTCAAAGATTGACTTTAATGCACTGATTTTTATTGTGACATCATCAATTTGCAAAACCTACAATGAAAGATTTCCCCCACAAGAGTTCAGTAAAATGATGCAATTCTGTTCCTCCTATATCAAATGAATTATCTGTATTAGGGAAATTTAAGTGATATTATTTAAATGTACATATAATTCTTTCCGTACAATTTTAGCATTAAAATTTCAAGTTAAAAACAATGTAGATGGCTGAAGGCCTTGAGTTCAAGTACCCAAGTACACACAGCCCCCAATACAGAAGTTTCAAAAGACATACTATTTATTTGTCCTATAACATCTGGAGCTTTAATTTCCAATTTCCACTGAAAACAAACAAGCAAACAAACAAATGTGGAATGGAAATCTGGTTGAATCATTTGTTACTTTCACTTAAAAAAAAAGAATAGTGCCGGGCGCTGGTGGCTCACGCCTGTAATCCTAGCTACTCAAGAAGTTGAGATCTGAGGATCATGATTCAAAGCCAGCCCAGGCAGGAAAGTCCGTGAGACTCCTATCTCCAATAAACCACCAGAAAACCGGAAGTGGCGCTGTAGCTCAAGTGGTAGAGTGCTCACCTAGAGCTGAAGAGCTGAGGGACAGCGCCCAGGCCCAGAGTTCAAGCCCCACCACCGACAAAAAAAAAAAAGAAAAAGAAAAAAAAAGAATAGTATCTTCAACTGTGTTTTTATCTTTTTTTTGTGTGTGTGAAAATACCATACAGAGGGGTTATAATTACATGGGCAAGGTTGTGTTTTTATCTTATCATCTTTTCTAAGACATAGAAAAAAAAAAAGTTATTACATCAAAATCATTTTGGCCTACTTATCCAGAAGAAGATACTACATTGTATGCAATGAAAAGTATTTAGATCTACCTGAAGGTATATTTCTCTTATCAGCTCAATAAACTCAGATTTCATCCATGGTGAATCTAGTTTGTTTTACTCCAAGTAATCACAAAAAAAGCCAGAAGTGGTGTTATAGCTCAAAGGGGTAGAGCATAAGGAGCCCCAGGGACAGTGCCTACCCTCAGGACTGCTCCTCCCCCCCAAAAAAGACAGTTTAAAGCATGTAGAAGTTCTGTCCATGTTATATACTAATATGATGTCATCTTTTATCTGGAACTTGGGTATATGTAGATTTGGAACCCACAATGGTCTTGGAACCAGTCCTCTAGAGTATATGCCAAAGGTTGACTATATTTGGCAAAAGTTCTTTAAAGATGTATCTTATTTGCTAGGCATCCATAAAAACCAATAAACTACAGAACAAAATAGCTAACACAATCACAGATGCCTATACCTGCTGTTATAAAAATTAATAACTTTTCTGCAACACAAAGAAATTCATTCTTCATCTCGGAGTAAATCTAGATGTGTGGCCAAGGAATACAAATGATTCATCTGGACAAAGTACCAAAACTTCTAGTTCATTGGAAAAAGAAACTTCAGCCCATTAAGGATAATAGTGGCATTCCGTGTTCCCTAAAGGGGCTCACAACAATACTATTTTCTTTGACAATCCTAACGGAGAATACATCTAAGCAAAGACACACCAAAATCTCACAACTGCATATGGAAATGAATTGATTAGCTCCATAATCTTTCAGGAAATTAAAGCAAAACCCTGAAATTCCTGAGTTATTGTTTGTTGTTTTTTTTTTTGCATAAGTAGTTTCAATTTTATTTCCTTGGACAAAAGCCACAAATCAGTTGACCATTTCCAGAATATATGCTAGCCCCAAGATCTAATTTCCTTTTCTTGGCAATGTCTAAAAAGAATGTGTCAAGATAAGAGTTTTCCTTTGGGGGAAAAAAAATCCACTACTTGAGTTTAGCTTTTTAAAATAATCATTTCACAAACACCTGGTCCATGTTATCAGTGATTTTCCAGCAACTAGTCTTCCTTAACTTCCTTAATTTACGTGACTATTCCCGGCAGCTTTTTTATCTCATTACATCTGGCAACACCAGAGGCTAGATGACGGGGATGAAAGTCATTCTTTCAACTTCTCTTAGCAGCACAAATGCTTCTTCAACTACATAGTCTCTCTCGTTCTCATTCCTGTATTATTTACTTATATATTTATATATATATATTTAATTATGTTTATATTTACTTATATACTTACAGCATAAATGCCTTCTTCAACTACATAGACTGTCTCCTCATTCCCATATTATTTACTTATATATTTACATATATACATATATATATATATATATATATATACATGCTTGTTTTTTTTTTTAATTGGTGCCAGTACTAGGGCTACACATCAGAGTCTTAAGCTCTCTACTCAGCTTCATGCCCAGCTGGCACTTTACCACATGAGTCACACCTCCACTTCCAGCTTTTTACAGGTTAACTTGAGATTAGAGTCTCTCAGATTTGTCCTAGGCTGACCTCAAACCACAATTCTCAAATCTCAGGTTTCTAGGTAGCTAGGATTATAGGCACCTGACTACTCTTTATTTTTATCTGACATATTGTAAAAGTCATATTTTTCCATCGTATGATTCCCCTTTTAGAATGTAAATTCCATTACCACAGCAACTTTTATCTTGTTTTCTTTTTCTACTGATTTACATATTTTTATTAAGCCTAGAACAATGCCATTATGTGCACTAAAATGAATCATACATGATTTTATGTGGCTGCAGTGCAAGTGGTACAGTCTAGAAAATATAACGCCCCAAGTTCATATCCCAGTATTGCCACCAAAAAAATAATAACTAAATAAATAAATTGACATTTCATCCCTTTGCTATTAAGGCAGTTTTATGAGAAAACAAAAAATAAATGAGTCCCTATGATGTCTACAATCATCATCAATAAACATTTGAATAAATTAGAATATTAGCATTATCATCAGAGGTAGAGCACTATAGGACCTTGAAATTTTTATCTACTAGTGAATCTTACCTGTAACAGTAACACCAAGTGTTTACTGGCAAAATCTTGATTCTGTAGTCCACAACATCCCAGACACAAAACAGCCAAATTCCTTACTACTGGATACATACTTACTATTCCAGGAAGAATCTAAAATGAATTAGAAATTAATTTTGACACAGGCAAGAAATTTAAAATACTATACTGAAATCATGGCCGAAATGATCATTCCCGTGTGATTTTATAGGTCTACATCATTTCCTTTTAGTCATTTAAGTCAATACTAAATAGTAAATTGATAAAACAGAATATAGTACAGTTTTCCTATAGTCAGATCACGAGGCTAAACTAATTCCAGAGGTTGCAACACTCACAGAACAGGAAATCCTGACTATGATATACACTACCCCTCAGATCTGTCTCACTGACACCTTATACCATGCTATCCCTGCCCTTAGTCAGCTACGCTGGTCTGACTTGAACACCTCTAATAGCTCTTTTTCACAGCAAGTGTCAATGGCAAAAGTGTTTTATTTAAGTATGTTTCCCTCATCAAGTTTCAATAACAGCTGTCTTTACCAATTGTTATTTTGTATATACTTTGTTCCCAGCATTTACTATGGCATAACCATTCAATAAACATGTGCTCCCTCAAGAGTTTCTCATACAGCTGAAAGCTAGTTGTTCACACCTGTAATCCTACCTACTCAAGAGGCTGAGATCTAAGGATCATGGTTCAAAGCCAGTGTGAACAGTTAACTTTGTTAGACTCTTATCTCCAGTAAAACTACCAAAAAAGCTGGAAGTGGAGCTGTGGCTGAAGTGATAGAGCACTAGCCTTGAGCAAAAGAAGATCAAGGACAGTGTCCAGGCAGAGAGTTCTAGCTGCAAGACTGACACCAAAAACAAAAACAAAACAAAAAAAACAAAGGAAGACTTTATGATACTTTATTTAAAGTAGAGTAACTTTATAACTACTATAAATCATTTATGCAAGTATCTTACTTATGTTCCTCTATTATGATCATTCAATTTTGGGTCCTTTCCTTTCTTAACATCGTGAAAGACTATGTAATGCTAAAAGGAGATCGATAGAGACAGAGAGAGAGAGAGAGAGAGAGAGAGAGAGATTCATACTTTCATTCTTCAATTATGTAGTTAATTGTATCACCATTCTCTTAAAACATGACCAGACATGTAGTTCAAGTAGAATTTTAAAAGTATTACTTTTCACTAGATAGATTTCTCTAAAATAAGACTAAATTCCAATAGTTGAGTATAATATAGTGTATAACCAGAAGTTTCAGTTACAAACTGATTTTCTTTACTGACTTTAGAAACTCATGACAACCCAAAAAATTAGATTTCAGACTGTCTACTTCTCACTAATTAAATAATTTGAAGATAATCCTCTGAGTATATTCAGAATGAGCTGTGAATGAACAGTACCATCAAAGTAAAAGAAGTCCTAGCTAAAGGCTGGAGACACGGTGCCACTGGTTCACACCTGCAATACTGGCTAAGATCTAAGAATCAAAGTTTGAAGCCAATCTGGGCAGGATAAAGTCTATGAGACTCTTATCTCCAATTAACCACTAAAAAGCTGGAAGTGTAGCTGTGTCTTAAGTGGTAGAATTCTAGCCTTGAGTGAAAAAGCTGAAGGACAGCACCCAGATCCTGAGTTCAAGCTTAAGTATTACACACACACACACACACACACACGCACACACACACAATGTTTGCTATCAAGTGCAAGGCCCAGACACACACACACACACACACACACACAATGTTTGCTATCAAGTGCAAGGCCCAGAGTTCAAATTCCGTATCAAAAATAAAAGTCCCTATTATTGATAACTTTAAGATGGGAAATCTGCCGGAGCCCAGGCCAACCTGATAACTTAGTGAAACTTCATCTCAAAAATTTTTTTTAAAAATGAACAGCAAAATATGGCATTATTACTCTAGCCTCTAGTTACTCACAGTTACTAAACATCTGAAATATAACTAGTCTTGAGATGTCTTCTAAAATTTAGTATAAAAACAATAAAAAGCTATTTCATATTTTAATACTAAATAAATGATAAAATCATAATAATTTAGCATGTTCAATGAAAAGATGTTTGGGCATATGTAATGTATTATATATATATTAAAATTAACTTTACCTTTTTTCTTCCTACTTTTTAAAATGTAGTTACTGTAGACTTAAAGTTACATATGGCTTGTATTATCTTTCTATCAGAAAATTCTATTCTAGAGTTGCATAGTCTTATATCCTAATGTCAGGAATTACCTAGGAAGGTTACTTTAAAAGACCTTTAAGCCAGGCATCAGTATGCCTGTAATCCTAGCTACTCAGGAGGCTGAGACCTGAGGATCATGGTTCAAAGCCAGCCTGGGCAGAAAAGTCCGTGAGACTCTTATCTCCAATAAACCAGTAGAAACCCAGAAGTGGCGTTGTGGCTCAAGCTCAAGGCTCGCCTTGAGCTGAAGAGCGCAGGGACAGCACCCAAGCCCAGAGTTCAAGCCCCACGACTGACCAAAAAAAAAAGACCTTTAAATATAACCAAGAATGATAGGTCACATCTGCAATCCTAATTAGGAGGCTGAGATTCAGAGGATCACAATTAAAGAAAAGTCTGGGCAAAATATTGTGAGATCTGCATTTCAGCCAACAAAAAGCTGGGCATGGTGATATTCATCTGTCATCCAAGCTACTCGGAAAGTGTAAATAGGAGTATCATAGCCCAGGCTGCCCCAGGTATAAAGCAAGATCCTTTTATTCAAAAAACAATGAAAACAAAAAGGGCTGAAGATGTAGCTCAAGGTAAGCCTAGCAAGAGTGATGTCCAGAATTCCAATCCCAGTACTGCCAAAAAAAAATTAAAATAAAAACATAATAAAGTTATACAGGAGCCACAATGTAACTTGAGTCTTTTTATACAGCACTATTCCAGTAACAGAAAATATTCTCTTACTCAAGGATAAAGATATTCTGCATATTTCTAGTAAAATGATTTTTCAAATCTTTTTGAGTGATAAAACTTATGTCCTAGCTCCTTTACACAGACTATCTTATTTTAATCCACACAGGAAATAGCTAATCTAGGTATCTACCTACTTTATCATTTGTAATTCATCAGATGTTCAAAATAATAACACTTTCATTCGGTTGAACCCTAATAAGCAGATTATAACATGAAGCAGAATGTGGCTAAAATGAAGCCTCAACTGAATAAAGCCATCAACATACCAAAGATTCAATGATTCCATTCATGGTCGCACTGATCCCAGTAGAAATGGACATCTGCTTCAACAGTTCATAGCACAGAACAAGACACTTTTGTAGTGTCTCCACATCATTCTAAAATAAAGACAAAACATTCAGCAACAGTAAGAACATCTTCTGCACAGAACTTAAAGATGTATTTTTTTAAGGGCTTGTTTAGGGTGCATGACAACTCCCTACATACTCCCCTTGGATCTGATCAGTCAGAACCTGATTTCCCATCTCTGTGCTGACTCAGCCATTTTCTTAGTTACAGGTTCATACATAAAACAACTGTAATATACTTCCTCTTAGTCATTTCATGGGCTCTTCCAACTCAAAATGTCCACAATGGAAATGATCCACAGATTTTGTTAAAAAAAAAAAAAAAAGAAGAAGAAGCTACCAGTTATAAAAATAAATTCAGTCACTCTTACTAAGAAACTGTCATGTTGGGGTGAGGTTTCCAGACAAGCTAAGAGTACAATTCAGGAAACCCTGTTAGATAGCAAACTTTGCTATTCTGTATTTTTTTTTAATTTTTCTTTTTCTTTATTATAAGGTAATGTAAAGAAGGGTGACCATTTCATAAGTATTGAGTACATTTCTTTTTGGACAACTTCACCCCTTCCTTTACTCTCTCCCACTTTTTCCCTCCTATCCCACAAGTTGTATATAGTTTGTTTTCAATATAGTATCTAGTGAGCACCACGGCTACATTTTATTCAGCATTTTCTTTTTTTCTTTTGGTTGTAGGGCTTGAACTCTGCACCTGGGCGCTGTACCTGAGCTCTTCTGCTCAAGGCAAGCGCTCTACCACTTGAGCTACAGCGCCACTTCCAGTTTTCTGGTGGTTAATTAGAGATAAGAGTCTCACGGACTTTCCTGCCTGGGCTGGCTTTGAATCATGATCCTCAGATCTCAGCCTCCTGAGTAGCTAGGATTACAGGCACCCAGCTCAGCATTTGCTTTACAAGAATACTCTAGTGAGCAATCCTCAAATCAAACAATATTAACTGAGATTAGGCATGGTGGTGCACACTTGCAATGCCAGCTACTTCAGAGGCTGTTCAAGATCAAAACAGGCCAACGCACTAAACTCTTTCTAAAAAGTAACCAAAGCAACTAAGGGCAGGAAACATAATGGCTCAAGAGGCGCAAAGCCTGCAAGAGCCTGCAGAACTTAGCCCTGAGCAAAAATCCCCACACTGCCAAAATGTGTGCATGCGTGTGTGCATGTGTTCACGCACATATATTATTGATAACTATTTATTTTAAGAGAAGCAATGAAAGAAATAATCTGTTTAAGAGACTAATTTATTAAGCAAAAAAAAAGACTACTAGAGTGAAGTGTTACTAGGTATCAAGATTAGTATTTGATTAAAAATAACAAGGATGTTTAGCTTTTGCTAGACACCACAAGTAACCATGATGCCAAGGTTACCACAGATGTAATTCCTAGCAGTGGAAAGGTAGGGAATGAGATGCATTTTCCTTGCTTAACTATTAAAGGTAAATACACAAATAAATTCAGAAGGGAACCACTAGAAAACTAGTTTCCCTCACATCGAAAAAAAGACTTCAAATTCCAGGGACTGGCAAGATAAGGGAACAAATAGTAGTAGCTACGATACTCAAAATACATTAAGGTCCTTTTCAAAGTCCAAAAATAGAAACAGGAGAAATAAATTTTTTAAAAATATTTAATTCATATTGCTGTCACAGTCTCCAAAGTGAATAGATTTTCAGTTTTTTGAGTTACAGAAAGCAAGATTCAGTTAAGATAGTAACAGTTGAGATTTAGTATGAAAAATATGATTCTACCTTCTCTGTGTGGACTTCTTTAATTTCAAGTTGTTCTGTTTCTTTCAACAGCTCTACTTTGGCATTTTCCAGTGCTCTTATTTCTTCTTTTAATTTTGATGCCTGATCAAAATCTTGTAAGGTAATACAATTTTCCAAAGCTTCTTTCGCTTCAATAAGTTTAACTTTTATTTCAGCCACCTAAGGAAAAATACAAATTAATCATATCAACACCAGACAAAAATTACTAACATGAAAATCTGTAGCAAAGTCAAGAGTATTACTACCTCAATGACCTAGAATTTAGGGATCAAACATAAGACAAAATTTCAATCGTCCAGCAACAGGGATCAGTCACCCTTGAAGAGTAACATAATTCAGTAACATTTTATAGACCTTTATATAATATTTACTTGATAATCTGATTTTGTTAAACCACACAATAAGAAACAGATTATACAGCTATATTACCAAAGCCTTTCTTTAATATAGAAGAAACATACCTTGAGTTCTTTTTTTCTTGTATCAGATGGATTAACATTAATAGTAACAATGGGTGCACGAATCTCTGAAATAATTTCTGTAACCTGGTAAGCAAAATTACAAAGCTTTAACAGATTATATCAACAAATAACAAAAAAGTGCTATAGAAAACACCAAGCCGTATCTGCCATCTACTGAAAACCAGAGAAAAATAACAGGTAAAAGCACATAATCTGTTTGCAAGACTTTAGAACCAAAACTGAACAATGCATCTCACTAGAAAGTGAAATTATTTGAAAGGAAGGTGAGTAGGTACGTATTTGCTGAAGATAAATTATCCCTCATATAATGTTAGAAAACTTGAAAAAAATTATGCTACCTAAGATTAGCTGTTATAATCTAAAATTCTCTGCATATGGTCTACAGTTTGGCTCTTCTAATAAACTCACTCCTGCCTGAACTATGTGGCAGTCTCCTTTCAACAACCCTTATACCTACCACTTTCAATTCCTCTTGTTCAGTTCTATACAAGTTTAAATATATATATTTTTGTATTTTTTCCTTTGGGCGCATAATATATACCTAATGACAAAGTAAGGCCTTTCACAGGCTTCTAAGAAGGGATGTTTCAAGGGTCCCTCTCATATGAAAATACCTAAGCAGTTACTGGACAAGCACTATGTGGGAAGTGTTCAGGAAAAGATATACATAAAACATGTTCATATAAGGAGCAGTTAGAATAACTTCTGACTTAACCTATAAAATATCACATCATGTTTTTATGAAAGAACAATACAGATCTCTCTTTTATCTAACTGGGGAGGGGGGTGGTGGTGGTGGGGAAACACTTGACATAGCATAGTGGTTACAATTTATTTCTGTATTTACGAACAGTTTATGAACATCATCTTACTGAAAAACAAAAGGTAGCTCATTGTTCCTTCGCAGATGAATACAAAAGGCTAAATAACTTATCAGAAGTCAATGCAGACAGAATGAGACATAAACCAGCTCTCGGCACACAGCGCCCAGAGTCTCATGGGCAAACCTCTATCCTACCGGTCACTCCTTCCACATCAGGTTGTAGACACCTGGTATAGACCTGTTTGTAGGCACATGTGAGAAGGAAAACACTTTTTAAATGTATGTGTACACACATACCCCACAGAGAGAGGTATCTGGTTTACAAATGTCATACACCTCCTATCTTTCTCAAGGAGGAAAAGCACTTACAATCTGTGTCCTCTTACTGTCATCTGTGATGATGTGGAGTAACCTTTCAACAAGCAGAGAAACCAGGGATATTGGCGTTGTGGGTAGCGTCAGAGTCTCCTGCAAAATAGCCACCAGCCGTTTCCTGTGGGCAAAAAAAGCCTTTAACTTATTTAATATCACTCTGCACACATACATTCCACCTCTAACATTTCTCTTACTCTATAGACTTTTGTCTTGGGTTCTTTTAATTTGTTTCCTTATGTCTCATATTTGTGTGTCACTACAAGTAGAAAAATCCCTACAGTACAGAGTTTTGTGTGTGTATGGTCCTAGGGTTGTCCCTGAGCTTTGCTCAGTAGCACTCTACCACTTTAGACACAGCTACACTTCCAGCTTTTGGGGTAGTTAATTGGAGATAAGAATCTCACAGGCTTTTCTGTCTTCTAGCTTTCCCATGATCCTCAGATTTTAACCTCCTGAGTAGACAGAATTACAGGTATGAGCCACCAGCACTCAGCCCTCTGTATAGTCTTGGAGCAAACAATTAATTTTGTTTTTAAAAAAAGTATATATTATACCCTCTGATCTTTAGTAAATCAACATGAAAAAACAACAAAATAACAGAGAAGAATCAACCAACAGTAGTATTACTTGGCTTCTCTGAAATAAGAGATTTTTAAGAAAAACACTAATACTATCCATTTATTGTGAAGAAATTGTACTACGATTATGTGTCTATGTATAAACACACAAATACCATCATGTGCCATAGAATTCTTCAGGTAGCCTAGCATAATAGTGTTACACCTATAATCCCAGTACTCGGGAGGCTAAGGCCAGACAGCTGATTTGAAAGGCAGCCTGGGCTACAGTCTAAGTTCCAGGTTCGCCTGGGCTATAGGGCAAGACCTGGTCTCAGAAACAAAAAATTACATTTCAGTCAATGACAGGCTGCACATAACACTGGTCCTATGAGAATATTATGGACCTAAGACACCATAGCCATAGAGATGTTGAAGTTCGATGCATTACTCTGGTGATACAGGTATAAAACAAACCTACTGCATTGCCATACCTATCAAAGCAAAGCATATACACTAAGTCACAGTACTTAATAATGATAAACGACTGCTATTGCTTTATGTGATACTCTTTTTCTGTGGGGCGAGTAGGGAACAGTACTGGGGCTTTTCACTCAGAGCTTCATAATTGCTAGGCAGGTATTCTAATACTTGAGCTACATCACCAGCCCTGTGTGCTCTGGTTTTTCTTTTCTTTGGCAGTAACTAAGGGCTCTGTGCTTCTTAGGCAGCCACTTTTACCATGAGCTACACCTCAGTGGTTACTTTTGAACTATGGTCACACTTCCTCCCTAGGCATCAGTCACATCATAGTGAGGAGAATGGGCCCAGCCTCTGCATCCAGCCCTTTTGCTGAGAAGAGATCTCTCAAACTTTCCTGCCTGCGCTGGCTTCAAACCATGATCCAATCTCAGCCGCCCAAATAGCTAGGATTGCAATGTGAGCCACCAGCACCTGGACCTAGTTGCTCTATTTTTACAACAAGGTTTCACATTTTGTCTAGGCCAGCCTGGCAAACTATTTCTGCTGGGATGACAGATGGGCACCATCTTGCCTAAGTTCATCTGTTGAGATGAGGTCTTTGGAACATTTTGTCTAAGCTGTTCTTGAACTGCATTCTTCCCTATCTCTACCTCCCAAAATTATAGATAGGATACAAGTGCACTTGGCGCTATACTCTTTATCTTTAGAATATACTACTTCTACTTATTAAAGTTTATTACAAAAAAAAAAGCATAATACCTTGGCAGCAGTCTCAGTTCATGTTTATAATCTCTTGATTGTACCAAGAAGTCACAACCTGGCCCACCCTATCTAGGCTTGTGAATGCATACACACCAGCAAAATCACCTAACAACACATTTCTAGGATTCCTCAACCCATGACCTGTCATTAAGTGACATATGATTGTGTGTGTGTGTGTGTGTACACTATAAAAGAAGGAAGCAGAAGCACTTTAGAATGTTACAGTAAATCCATTTAACTGCACTGTAGCAAGACTGTATTTTTAAGACTAAAGAATAAATTAGAACAAGCGTTAACATTTAGACATACCGTCCTCCTTCTTCACTAGTATCCAAAGACTTGATCATTAGAATCAACTGCTGACCAATGAACTCCCTTGTCATTAAGTTTCCAATATATGAAAAATCATTTCTCTGTTCTTCGTCAACTGCTGGAATGCTCTGGATATAACTAAAACAAACGGAATTAATAAAGTAGAATGTGTTATCAAATAACAAGAGTTAATTCCCACCAATCAGAAAAGGGTCTTCTTCAGTTTATATTAGTCCAAATACTACATATTTATATCTTGTAATAAGTTGGTAAAATTGTAGTAAACTTTAGCAAATATTTAGAAATTGTACTTATATTAATAATTCAAGTTTTCTCTTGAAAATATTCAAAAGATCCTTTACTTATCTCTGAAATGTATGACTATTTCAATGTGTCAATGTGTCTTACAGTCTTCCAAACTCTGCATTTCTTGTCTAAAAATCCAATTAGTCATAAAGGTCTAATCTTTACTCATGGCAAATCATGATCATTCTTTTCTTTGAAATGATAGTACTACTACTAATTTACACATTGTGTTCTGCTGCTTGAGTACTAGCATGGCAGGGTGAGTCACTGTGACAGGGCTGGTATGATCAGCCAGGAACCTAAAACACTTACTACTTGGCACACAGAAACAGTTCAACAAATTTCAAAGAGTAGCACATCAACATTATCAAGTTGATGGAGAAATGAGGGAACTAGCATACGCACACTGACGGAAGCACTGACTTAGTGCTTTTGGGCACTGTAAGCACCACAGGATCCTTTAGGAACACTCAGTGCACCATCTGCACCAACAGTGGCTGTAAATAATTTCCAACTGGGCATGACCATGAACAAGAGGCCTGAGAGACCAACGCACATGGCAAGTAGTGAAAACAGAAGAGAAAAAGTACCTCAGTAAATACTCTGCATATACTACAGTCTCTGGCAAGATCTGCTCTAAAAACTCTTCGCCTTCATCTCCTTTTGATTTCAAGTAATCGCAGAGGGCACGCCAATATAAAGCAATTTCAGGAGTTAATGTTTCCACAGGGATCAATTTCCTTCGTTTAAGAGGAAGAGAATAAGAGAAAACATGATCTTATATCCCGTTAAAAAGGGGAACAAGAATGAAAATGAGCACATTTGATTTAGAAATACCAGTGTTTTAATTATAGCCATTAGCTACACAAAAGGGAGTGGGAAGGAAAAAAAAGGAAACTACTTAAAACCAAAAGAAGAGAAAAAAGGGAAAAATTCAAATGATCAAACACAGTAAGGGCACATGTTTTTCTCACAGCAGGCTACTGTAGAAATCAAAAGGGGAAAGGGAGAGAATACAACTAATGTAGACAATGTATGATAAAGTACCAAGTTCTTATACCAAGGTGAGAAACACAAGGGAAAAGGGTCAGATCAGAGGTTCTGATGTAAGCTGAAGGAAAAACTGATTTTAATTGGAAGTCATCAGCAGTAAAATTCCAATAATGAACCCTTTATGTACCTGTCATCATTATTTTTACAGATCTCCACAAGTTCAGTGAGAGGAGTCACTACAAATAAAGCATTGAGAACAGAGACTGCCACTTCAGAAGAATTTTCTACATCCAACCTATGAAGCAGCTCCAAGATATTTCCTTCAGTGAAGCGTAACCAGCCTTGGAGAAGATGCTTCTGCATGGCTTGCTTCACAGCATCTGTGGAGAGTCATTTGCAAATACATAAACAAAAGCTCCCCCTAGCTGTTATTTCCTATATTTCATCTGTTCTAATTTTATTAGATCAATGTTAATATAACGTTGAAACTTATAATACAAATAGAGATTACAGTGAGAACAAAGCACACTAAAGGTAATAAAACCACAAAGAAACAACACTACAAGTCCTGATGATGCTTACTTCCAAACATAAATGGATCAGGTTCAGTACTAAATGCCTAATCTCTACCAGTCTACAAAAAAATCTGCATTCCCTCCTGCCTGGGCTTAATGGGCATCAGAATACATAGTATTTATCTCACTTGTTGCCTGACTTCACTATTGTAAGAATGCTATTTACAGTAGTAAATTACAGCAAACAGCTATCACTGAACAGATGTTATTCTTAGCCCTTCAGACCATCCCAGTCATTAGAGTTTCAAACTCAAGTTATCTTTTTTCTTTTTCTTCTTACTACAGCAAAATGAGCCATCTTTGCCTTTCATGGAAGATACAACTTGAAAAAACATCATTACTACATGAAGATTCTCTAGTTTAACAGAAAAGGGCATCAGAAGATTATACTGGTCTCACACTTCTTATTTCTGATGCCCAGAAAACATTTATGTTAAGGTACATACACACAAGGATAGTTTTTGTTTGTTTTTGGTGTTAGTCATTGGGCTTGAACTTAGGGCCTGGGCACTAACCCTGAGCAATTTCTGCTCAAGGCTAGTGCTCTACCACTTGAGGCACAGCTCCACTTTCAGCTTTTTGGGTGGTTTAACTAGAGATTAAAATCTCACAAACTTTCCTGCAGGGGCTGGTTTTGAATTGTGATCCTCAGATCTCAGCCTCCTGAGTATAACTAAGATTATAGGAGGGCACCACTGGCAACTGACTAGTATTTTTGTTTTTAAGGAAGAAAAAAGGCTAAAAGAGATGGTCTTACTTCTGACATTAACTCACTCTACAGGATTAAGAACAGCTCCTCTCCATCAAACACCGGCAGGCTGAAAGAATTCCTATTCCTTGAAGATAACCAAGACCGGGGCTGGGAAGGTGGTTCAGCGGTAGAATGCTTGCCTTGCATGCATGAAGCCCTGGGTTTGATTCCTCAGCACCACGTAAGCAGAAAAAGCCAGAAGTGGTGCTGTGGCTCAAGTGGTAGAGCACTAGCCTTGAGCTGAAGAGCTAAGGGATAGTGCCCAGGTCCAGAGTTCAAGCCTCACACAGACAAAAAAAAAAAAAAGATAACCAAGACCTTTAACCAAATGAAATATTTTTATATGTTATACACCAAGACAAATTTTATCAAGTTTATGGGAATGATAGCCTTACTCAGTCTTATTTATGGTATGATACTGTTTCCTAAACCTTATTAAGTCTGACTTCAAAAGTCTACCTTAGGGCTGGGAATGTGGTGGTAGAGTGCTTACCTAGCATGCATGAAGCCCTGGGTTTGGTTCCTTAATACCACATATACAGAAAAAGCCAGAAGTGGTGCTGTGGCACAAGTGCTAGAGTACTAGCCTTTAGCAAAAGAAACTCAAGGACAATGGCTAGGCCCTGAATTCAAGCCCCAGGACTGGCCAAAAAAAAAAAAAAAAAAATCTACTTTACCTGATCTGTCATTGAGACCCTGTTGAAGGAGCATTACTCTCTGAGCAATGGACATCGCTCTCATATGAACTTTTTCAGCTAAAACCTTAAAAAGACAATGAAATGGGGTCATTTACCTCAACTCAATGTATAGAATTCTTACTTAGTAACATAGCAATCATCTTAGAAAGTTAACTAGAGTCTCCAAAAAATTTTCTGTAAACATATTTAATACAATAGAATTCTATCTAAATTACCTACTATCTCCAAACAATCTACATTGCACAAATCACTTTGTGCTAAGTAATTTTCACAAGTACCTTAAGAAAACATGGCTATATAAGTAACTGGACTTTCATACCTGATAAGCCAACTTCCTGACAGCCTCTTTCACATCTTTGGTGCGCTCTACAATCTTTGACAAAGTCTTGGCTGATGGTGCGATACATGATAACACTGCCCTCCTAACTTCTGGATTCAAATCATTTTCAATCAAAGTAGTATATGCTAAAAGTAAAGTAATACAGTTTAATACCACAGAAATACCTTAACAATAGTCATAAAATAACTCATATTCTGGCATTTTTTGATGTTTCAAAATAATAAAGACAAGATACTTCTAGTCTTACACATCTGCCTTCGAATCAAAATTTTTTCTACCAAGTTCCCTTTCAAGAACAAAATAAAGTATCAGTAAATTGACCAGAAAGGAAGACTAAAACTGTAACAACCTTGAAAGTCACAAGAAACTTTTATTTTTTATTTACTTTTATTCTTTTGGTGCTGTCCTGGGGCTTGAACTCAGGGCCTGGGTGCTGAGTGTTCTAGCACTTGAGCCACAGCTCCACTTCCAACATTTTTTGGTGATTAATTATAGGTAAGTCTCATGGACTGTACTGCCTGGGCAGGCTTTGAATTGTGGTCCTCAGATCTTAGCCCCCTCAGTAACTAGGATTACAGGTATAAGCTACTGGCCAGTACCCAGCTGAGAACGTTTATTTTCTCCAGATCTGTTATATTTATAAGGATCTATTATTTCGATTTGGGGAAGAGAAAGTTTGTACTCAAAGCCTCTTTCTGAGAGCCTCATACATCTCATGATTTCACCAAAGAGTTATACTGAAGGTGATACCTTGTATCATCCATCATAGTTGTCCAAGTACACTCTGTGATGTTCCCAGAACAAAAATTACCTAATGACATATTTCTCAAAGTGTATACTCATTCCTTAAGCAAGGTATGATGACTATATAACCTGCTGCCAAATAAATGAGAAGAAAGGTAACCCTGGGATGTACTGTGTATACCATCAGATTCTAGAAGCAGTCATATTAAACACAGGAAAGGATAGGAACCAATGAACAATGTTATCACCTCTTACTAATTTTAATTGATAAATCACTCTGTAGATTTACCTGTACCTAATCTAATAAAGGCAAAGCCCTATATACATAACAATTCTACATTTAAGCAAAATCCTACAAAAGTCATTTAACTTGTGCACCAAGAAAATTCCAAACACTATTTTTCAAAGCAAATTATCTAGATATAACTAGAGAGCCTTTTAATTTTAAAAACAATAGACTGTTGGCTGGGAAAACTAAGTTTATTTCTGTAATCCTAGATACTTGGGATGTGGAGATCTTGGGGATCATGGTTCAAAACCAGCTGAGAACTCATCAGTACCAATGAGCTGGATGTGATGGTACATGCCTGTGATCTCAACTATGCAGGAAAACACAGGTATGAATATTATAGGCTCAGAAAAGCTGGGTTAAAAAGACACTATTTGAAAAATAACTACAGCAAAAAAGGGCTGCCTCAACCTCATAGAAAATCAAGCTAGCTAGGGCAAAGCCCTACGTTCAAAAACTGCCAAAATATAGTACTAATATAATGATAGCAATAATGGTAAACAGTTAATACCATATAACAATGAGATAACAGCAAAAACTATGGATGAATGCTAGAACTAGAAACTTTTTTGAGAAAAAGTCAGGAAGATATAGTATGATTCACATGAAATTATAGGCAAAACATTAACATTTAGATGGATGTGTGATTAGGGAACGTAATTAAAACTTAAGAAAAAAGAGAATTAACCCAGTATTGATTATATTTACCTCTGAGTGAGACAGAGAGAGAGAAAAAGAGAGAGAGAACCAAAGCAGACCTCAGAAGTACTGATAATAATTTGTTTTTATTAGGAAGTTGTAATGTGAGTATTGTTCTACCTTAAATATATGTATGTATATATATATACACATATACACACAAAACACACATATATATATATATATATATATATACACACACATATATATAAAGTTAATAACAACTTCTGAGGAGGAATTAACAAAACCAAGACTGAAACAATGATTGGAACACCACACATACCGTTAACCACTGGGCACTCATCATCCTTGGGATCCTGGAGTCGAGAAAGAGCCAAAACTGCCTGTATTCTCACATTTGGAATCTTATCTTTCGATCTAATAAGCATAGCTTCCATAATTTTATCAAACAAATCATCATCGATCTGGGCATTTTCTGGCATACTTCCCAGAAGCTTGTTTATGAGTTGGCATACTCTAAACCTGACCGCGTTGCTGTTTGCTTCATGAGACTACACAAAACAAAGCAAATGTTATTCCTAATTACACATCATTCCTAAATAATCAAGACCATTCCTAAATAATCAAAAAGTGACAAGTGATCCACACTTGCAGAGACATTACAATGTTTATACAAATTTTTACACAGCCTTAGTCTGGAAAAAAAAAAGTACACTCTTTGTACAAATTCATACTTCATTTTTTTTGTATTTGGTGCTGGTCCTGGAGATTAAACATAGGGCCTAGGCAATGTCACTGAGCTTTTTTGCTCAAGGCTAGTGTTCTGCCATTTGAGCCACAGCTCTACTTCCAGCTTTTTTGGTGGTTAGGAATCTCATGGACTTTCTTGGCCCAGCAGGCTTCAAATGGCAATCCTCAGATCTCAGCCTCCTGAATAGCTAGGATTACAGGCATGAGCCACTGGTGCCCAGCCATATTTTACTTCTAAAACAGAAAACTCATTTAAAGGAAAGGAGGGAAAAATAGGCTCTGAGGAGGGTACTAGCGGAAGGGGCTGAGTTAACAAGGAGGATGAAAGAGGATGGATATAGTCCAAATAGCTCACTTGAAACTATGAAAATACTGTAAAACCTGTTGATATTGTTCTGGGAAAGTGAGGGAAGAGGGAAAGGAAGTGTGATACAGGGAGAGAGATTGATGCAATATATTCTAAATGTATGAAAATAAAACAGTGAAATCCCCCCCCTGCATAACTTATATAAATAAGCTAACTTTTTTAAAAAAGAGAAAAAAGAAAACTCACTTAAAGCAAACACCTATGACAAATTATTTAAACAGATCACTAAAATTTTAATGATAGCTATTGTTTAAAAGCACAGTCTTTTTAATCTTAATGGCAGTTAAGATTTCCTATAAGAGACTTGTTTACAGATTTTTCCCCCATCGCAAGATATTTTATTGTCTAAAATACACAATCTCTGTGGCAAAGTTTTCTACAATACATTCTCAAAATCCTAGCTTTTACCTTTAACAGGAAAGTAAACAAATAATTTAAAATGCCATCATCTTCCTCTTCTTCATCATTGTTGGTATCCAATTGGTGAAATGAAGTGACAAACTTGGCTGCAAATTCTATCACACGCTCCACAGCTGGTTCACGTTTATAGACCACCATGGCATATTTCAGGTAATGAACAAACTCTTCATGAAAAACTGTTTTATTATCCACCTGAAAGGCAAAAGAAACTCCTCATAAACTACACTGATTAAAATCCATTCCCAACATTCCCTTAATACTGCTGAAAACACTGGGCAGAAAAAGGCCTAGCAACCTAAAATCTGTAGTAAAGTCTCAATTATCCTAACTAGCAAGAAGGATAAAACTACACAAACTTCACTCCAGTTTACAATCTGCACCTCCCAGAGAGTAAACAACATCAATTTTAACAGCAGAATGATTTGTTTTCAAAACCCTGCAATTCTCAATATATTACCAGTTTCGTAGGCCTACTGCCCCCAAACTACTTTTGGTATACCTTTCCCATCTCCCTGTATCCTCCAAGCTTTGCTATATTTACTTAACAATTTACTAAAAATTTACTATCTTGAAATAGCCATGTAAAGGGATTTCAATTCAACATGACAATTTATGAGTATAATGCAGCGTAGTCAATTTCTCTTGGCTTTTAAATTAATACATCCCCTCCCCTCCCCCAATTACACAGTATCTACACGCTCAGGAAGGGTAGGAGCCTAAAGATTAATTTGACATTGGGTAACTGGATTCAACTGATTCAGGAATGTAACTGGAAGGTGGGCTTTTCTGTTGTAAGCAGAGATCCCTTCAGGATATAATCTGTGGACTAAGGATTAACTGTCCACACCCGCTGGGAGCCCCAGGGATGGGTAGCATTAGTGCAGAAAAGCAAAGGAGGAACCCCGTGTGGCTGGTGATCCGGTCGTTCACCTGGGCTCTGGAGACCTTGGGCAAGTCTCCTGAGAACGGTAAAGCTCACTTCACTCTGAATCAAGTGTCAACCACGAACAAGGAGAAAAGGCCGAGTGGTCATAAAAACCAGGAGGTCTGGGTGTCAGTGGCTCACTCCCGTAATCCTAGCTACTTAGAAGGCTGCGATCTGAGGATCGGAGTACGAAACCAGCCCGGGCAAAAAAGTCCGTGAGACCCTTTTCTCCAACTTAATCACCAAGAAGCCATAAGTAGTAGAGTGGCCAGCCTCAAGCACCAAAACTCAGGGCAGGATCTGAGTTCAAGTCCCAGGACCGCCCCCGCCCCCCACATACTCAGGGACAGCATCCGGGATCTGAGTTCAAGTCCCAGGACCGCCCCCCCCACACACACACACTCACGGACAGCATCAGGGATCTGAGTTCAAGTCCCAGGACCACCCCTACACATACTCAGGGACAGCATCAGGGATCTGAGTTCAAATCCCAGGACCGCCTCCCCCCCTCACCCACACACACTCAGGGACAGCATCGGGGATCTGAGTTCAAGTCCCAGGACAGCCACATAGGCATAGGCGCACGCACACACGCACGCACACGCGCACACACGCACACGCGCACACACGCACACGCCGAGAGGCCCGGGACGGCCGGCGGAGGAGCGGGGCGCCGAGGCGAGGCCGCGGGGAGGGCAGCGTTTACCTTGCCGTAAGTGCGGCTCAGAGCCACCACCAGCTTCGCCTGGTTCTGGTGCGGCTGCTGCGCCAGCTGAAAAGCCTCCTTGATGGGCAGCATCCTCTTCTCGGCTCCCATGGCGGCGGAACGACCGAAGCCCCGCAGCGCGGCCGGGGGCGTGGTTACCGCCAGAGCGTTCAAAAAAGTCCCGCGGGACGATGACATCTCGCGAGACTACCGCGAGAGCGGGGTCCACCCACGATCCAACCCCGCGCGTGCGCTCACAGGCGCGTTCGCCAGGTTTCCGGGTAGTTTCTGAGAGGGGCGGGGTGAGCGTCGCCCTCGCCGGAAGTCGCGTCGTCAGGGAGACGGAGCGGAGCAGCCGCGCGACCTTCGGGAGCCGACGGAGCTGGGGCCGCCCCGTGGGGCCCTGCCGTGCGCCGGGGCGTGAGGCGGGGAGGCTGAAAAGATCCTCCACGGTGAGAGCCGGGAGTCCGCCGCGGGCGTCAGTCTCCGC